CTCTTGCCGCAACCCGAAGCTTGGACGAAGGTAAGTGTCGGTGAGTGAGAATTCGTCCGCCTTCCGAATTCCACGCCTGCGTCAACCCACTCCCAAGCCGCCATCGGGCTCATACCGCGCGTATCGTCATACGGGGCCCGAAACGCCTCAGCAACATGCTTGATGTGGTCGTCGGTGCTGGTCCTGCTTTGCGGGACCGGGAGGTCGTCCTTTATCGGCAGAGACCCCGGAGTAACAGTCGGCACTGCAACAGTCTGCTGCAGCCTACGCCACATCATCACCACTGCAACCACTGCGACCACCACTGCCACCACTGAGACCACCACCAACTCCCTCCTTGTCCACATCAATTGACTATTTATAAGGCCCGTTATTAATATTAACAAAAACCTGTCCCGGGTGCACCTTACCGGACCACTACCATTGCGGGTGCACACACTCAGCACCCTGGAGTGAGAATAGGTGTTTGATGCCAACTCATGACCGCGAACACACACCGGTGAACAGGGGCTCAAAATGACATCTGTTTCCGGTAATTCACGGCGGGAAGTTTGTATTGGGGGGTCATGTTATGTCTGTAGTCGTAGATTCGGCTGACGACCGGTGGTGGTAAACCTGGGGCTACTTCTCGGGCAGGAAACGCTGACACGCATACGCGTGTTTGTACCCCGTGCTCATTGTCTACCATGTCCCAAAAGTCGAAAAGACGTACAAAAGAACGACCTTGAGCTCTCCGCGACTCAGCATTAAATAATGTCCGGTTAAATTTACTATTCAAGAGGCCACTTGTCGGGCTCTGGCCACAGTTCGCCGTAGCACTCGAAGGCACATTGTTTGTTCTTGAGGTTTCCATTATCTTTCGCATTAGCATTGGGGATAGATAGCGTTCTAAATGCGTCCTGTAGGCGCGTGTTGAACTTGATGGATTCCGCCGACCGGCTCTCTTGACTCCCGCTCTGTTCGATTTCGCAGCTGACACGCGCTATACGACAGACCCGGTCGCTAGTAACGGTGCAGTTATCAGGATCACAATCTAGCACGTCCCGTTTCTGGGTGGGATGTTGAACGGTGATAGCATCTCGGAAGTTTGGCAATTCGGATAATTCATTATATGACGGCCACAGTCTCTCGTAACCAGGTGCGTGGCGCAAATAGGTACGGGCTTCCTCCCACAAACGATTAGAGGTGCTTTCTACCGAGCCGCAGGTCACCCTACAGTCCGAAGCATCAAGCAAATAACGCATAGCCGCATCCTGGACCGCGTAGACATCCGCAGATTGAGGACCAAAACGATGGCAAGTTCGTTCCCAATCTGGGCACTTTATGATTTTGACACCATCCAGGCAGAAGTTAGTTCCCTTTGAATACCAACAAGTTAACAGACCATTTCTACCCGGACATAGATGTTGACCGATGTTGTTCAGTTTTACCCATACTTTTGCATGCAGCAACTCTGAGCATCCCTCGTCCTCGAGTGCGGCCAACTCCCTTCTGCTCAGCGTCTCTTTCAACGGAGAGTCGTCATTTGAAGGCTCGGTCTCGAAAAATTGCATCTCTACTCCTGCCTTAGAAGTTGCGGCAATATCCGGGGGCATTTCGCGGCATTCGAACTTGCAGGCCTTTACCTTATAGAAATCTTCATCCTTGGTGTTGAATAGGGTCAGGATACTAACCAGATCATACAAACTCGTCTTATATCCAACCAGATCAATCCGCTGTGGTGAGCCGGCCCCACGAGCCGTGACCTCACAGCTAACTTCTGCGAAAGCGCAGTGACAGTTTTTGACACGGTCGTGTCTATCACAACTGACACACCACCCGGAGCAGTCATCCGTGACAGGATAGCGTGCGTCGAGCATCACTTTGAAATCACTCACGTTCGGTCCGGCTGCATACTTCAGAAAATTCCCTTCAGGGTAGCCAGGAATCCCAGGTAAATTCTTGCCGGACTGCTCCCACAAATTCCGTAAGCTTTGCTCTTGACCATCGCATACCACCTTACAATTTCCTCTCCCCCGCAGATAAGTTCTAATCGCGTTCCGGACTGCAAAGAAGTCGTATCCCCATGGACCGCCAAAATGATAGCATTTCGCAATAACGAAACCGTCATGTGTTGCACCTCCAGGTGTCGCACACCGCACTAATCCACTGCTGCCATCACACGGGTATCGATCAAATCCAAACTTGTCCACATCGCGCCACTTGGGTGGGCACACGGTCCGGAGTGGGGACAATTCGTGCGGCTGCATCTCTCGCTTGAACTGAGCGAACTTCTTGATCAAATCGAGAGACAACCCTGGGGGGGCCTCGAACCGTTTTTCTGGGGTCCCTGTTCTTGGATCACGTTGCGGGAACACTTCGGGGTTAAAGGGTGCGTAATGAGTGGGGATGAAACGAGGCGCATGAGAAGCCTTCTTCGAAACTGCCTCAGCCCAGAACAGGTCCGCGACGTTCGCCGGGGTGTAATGAGGAGCACCTGTTCGCTTCGTCGTGACGGTTTCCTCGGCCCCCGTACTCGTCTTGAA